AAGAATGATTTCATTGGATATACATATCGTGAAATAATGATTTACAAGACATGTTATGTCAACGTATTTCACGAAATATATTGACACTTCATCGTTGATACACTATCTCACAGAACCATTATTTGTGTATTAGTATTTCATGATCGTATAAAGATAGTTAGTCTGATAGCCATAACCTCACTAAAGAGTATCTGAATTCAAACTGAACCATCTGCTTGATTACAGTTAAACCTCAAGGAATCATACGGGTGTGTATTTGTGTAGATATATATAGTTATTATAAATCATATGTATATTCACATTTCAATTACAATCTCAGTGAAGACAAACACATTCTTCACTTGTTAGACACACTTAGATTGTAATGAAAAGTCATTAATTGCTATTACACAGAAATCTGCCTTTTTTAAAATAGAGTATCGTGATGAAATATTTAACGTAATATCCAGTCTGAAGATGTCTGATTTTTTGTAGGAGCTTATAACTGATAGTTTTACTTAAAGGTACAATTCAAAACCCAAAGAATGAGTAAATAAAAACATCTATATAACAGCATCACTTAGTATAAATCATGGTGGTTTGTAAATGTACGGTATTTTTAGATAGTACTGGAACCAACAGATTAGATAATAAGCTTCATAATGGCAAAAGTGTAGGAACATATATATGTGTGAAACTTGCTCAAAAGTAACAAGTTTCACTCGTTGAAAAAAAATACTTTAATTGTATTTAACAATAACATAACATGGCCTATGATATCTATTTTCCTTACAATATGGTCAGCTCTCTGTATTAACATTAACAATATTTAGACAACTGCACTCCACCTGGATAAGGTGGGTCTGAACAAAGAGCTTTTATGAATTATGTTCAATCTTAAGCTCAATCATAGCTTCCCAACTTCCTAGAATGTAATGTCATCTGGAAAGTCCTACTACTAGAAATGGAAAATCCAGAATTTTCATGTTCTCCATTTTTTCAAATGACCAGAATACTATAGAAATTCTGCTAAGTCCCACTTAATAAGCTATCCAGGAAGCAGGCCAAGTGTCGAAATAAACAAGTTTTAGGCTTATTCTTATAAACATGGGAAGACAAATTATAAAAAGTAAGATTAGTTGTTATACTTGATGATGACATGTTAACCTTGTGAAACGTTGTAACATTTCATCTTTGTTTGTTCAATGCTTTATATGACTACACTATCTGTGATGTTCTGAAGAGGAAAGAGATACAGACTGTCCATGAATTCATCATGCACTTTGCCTGAATATCAGTTCCAATAATAAAAAAGCATAAAAAAACACGAAAATAATAACTTACAACACAGCATAAAAACTTAATCTTTAACTGAGGAAGGCAAATTTGTTGCTAGATAGAAAAGTCTTTAAAATTATGAACAGCAATAGGTTTCCCTGCATTGGTAAGTTTGAGAATGTCTGCTTAATGAAAATGAAATAAGCCATGAAGGATAAGCTATAAAACAAGCTTTAATGTTGGATTTTCAAAATAAAAAATTAGACCAAGCCATAACTTGAATTTTAGATTTTTATGTTATTTTCTTTACTTGTTAAGAGTAAAGTGATTTTATTTAACACTTTATTAAATTAATAAGTATTTATTTCTTGATGTATACAAATATTTACAGAACTGAATATGTCTTGTTAGATTGAGAAACCTAACTTTCAGCCATAGCATGAAAATATTTGTGAATTTAAATACAAAATTTGAAATTTAAGAGAGAAGAGATTGCTGCATCTTTCATTAATGTAAAAATAAGAGTCATAAATAAGAGAGATAACAGAACTTATATCATGTTTGAATAGAAATACTGTAATGTTTTTAGACTAAAAATGTTTTAATAGCTTTTAATGGCATAAAGTCATGGCATTTAACCTAATAAAACTCTTCAATAAGGCATATTTAAAGTGACATCACAGGCCTAATCTTTGATGTCTAGAGATGGCAATGGCATTCACTTTTTTCACCTCCAAAAATGATTTAGAAAGAATGCATCACTCAAAAAAGGCCTATAGCAGCATTTCAAAAATTATTATTACAGTTCTAGTAAACTCATTGATGAATAACAGGATTTCAGTTGGTCTAATGTGGTTGAGGAGAAAGATAAAATTGAAGACTTCTAACAATAGTAATGGCTTTTATCCCATTTATATCACAGAAATGAGTTTTTAAAGAGGTGTCACCAAATGCTTTTAACTGGGCAAAGATTTCTTGACCAATCACATAATTTCATTTGGTGTGGTATGGTTCAACAGTAACTCAAAACTAATACCTGCTATGATGATCTATATCCTTCATAATCATTTATCTTCTCATCGGTTTAACTTACTAAACTGAAAGCATAAGATTGTATCAAACCATTGTTTTGATTGTAAAAAAAAAAAGTTTACAACTGGATGTGTAGATAAAGATTACATAAACAGTGGGTGCCAGATACAACTAAAAAATGATTATTTTATCGAGTATAACCTAGCATTTTTTCAGGCTTTATAATTGTCTGCTTTTTGAAACTTGTGTAAAGCTACTAGAGAGCTATCTGTGATAGCCATCCCTAATTTTTGAACTGATAGACTACATGAAAGGCAGCTAGTCAGAACCACCCACCACTAACTCTTGGGCTACTCTATTAATGAATAGTGGAACTGATCATCACATTATAAAGTACCCACAGCTGAAAGGCTGAGAGTGTTAGGTGAGTTGAGTGCCACACCAGGCTTTATTAAATGAGAAAAGTAGTAAATGTTATGTTTATACAATAAAAGAAAATTCTATACATTTCAGAATTTATAAAAGGTGAAATGTGCCTTCTTTACACTTCCTAGATATACATTAACTAACTTTGAAAACCACACAAATATGAAAGACATGAGTGACTGTGTAAATGTATGAGAGAAAATGATTCATTTTTAAGGCTTGGGTTGTTTTCGACCTTACTGGTATTGTATTTGATTTGATGACAGGATTAATCAACAAAAGTGAAATTATTAAAAGTCAAAATATAAAACAATATTTTGGATGAAATACTAAGCAAACACTGCAAACTTTAAAAACATTAACTCTAATTTATGAGGAGTACTTTGGTGGTTCTTTGTCTTAAACACTTAAGTTTAATAGAAATATCTTTGTTTGTTTTCGAAAATTAAACAGTTTGATATTTATTTTTGAATGGGTAAAGAAAACAGCTGTATTTGATCTAACAAAACATAGAAATTATGAAACAGAAATGCAATAAAAATGTTCAGTTTTAGTTTTCTAGTAACTACATTTATATATATACAATATCATATGGTTGATATTATAAAATGTTGGCATGTGTATACAACAGATCCTCACAAATAAAAATATTGCAGTCCTCATGTTACCCTTGTATGCAAGATTTGAATATGAGTGAGGATTATACTGATGTAGTCAAAAGTTTGATCAGCTTGTTTTTAGTTTTGAATTTTCCTTTTTGTTCTTTTTCTTATGATTTAACCTTTTTTGTTTATTAGATATGCTCTTTTATTAACTTAAGTCATCCTAAAAGGTATATTACCCTGCAATATTGATATATCTGTTAGCTTTGGCTTAAAGAATAAATAGGGTAATTGTTTGTTACAAATTGCAGTCATTCCTGAAAGAAAAAAACAGGGTAATTTAGATTTATTTCATATTTTTAAACTTTTCCTCATAGTGAGCTAAACAACAAATCAGTATGCAGTATGGTGGCTAAAATATTGTCTTGATGATAGTCATATGCTTTTTTTTGTCTTTTTTTGTTTTTAGTTACCTTAACAATAACTGCTACAATAACATTCAGTATTGATTTCACAATTTAGGGGAAAAGCTTATGACTTGATTCTGTGCCATACTGATTTTAATGAAAAATGCAATAATTAATGCATGCAGTGTCAACTGTTCAATCAGCAAATGACATCATGGTTAAAGAAACCTGCCACCTGTGACTTGTTATTATCATTAATATACCTTTTGCACCTATTACATTGACTTTGTACCTCTCACATCACTCAGACACTTTAGAGTACTTGTTAAACGTAAGATAATTAGTAGATACCGGGTAATTATGAGGATAATTATTTCAGTGAGTTTCTACACATATTTTGTACCACTAAAAATTAAAATATAAGTATCCTTTTATTCATAATTTATGCCAATATGCTGTCTATCTGGATCAGTGTTTAAATAAATTCACAGCCTTATATACACACACACACAAATACATACAAAACTAACACATTGTAATATTTCAAGCAATTCTTCTCTTTAAAGGTGACACAAAATACTTCATGCACATATTTTCAGGTATCCCAGTTCATTGTTATTTTATGAAAGCAAAATTTGATTCAGCTGGTACAGTATATTTTTATCACTCACTGCTAATATCTTAAATGATCTTTGTATTCTTTCCATCATTAACTTTTGATTTTGACTCTAGCTACGATTTTTGGTACTTTCATAAAACAAAGGCTAAATGACCCAAATATATTACATCTATTATAGTTGACTATATTTAATGGTCTTCAACTTTTTGGCACTGATAAGCAAGAGAGAAAGAGGTCAGGTCATATACAGTTTCTTACCTGGGATGCTTAGAGAATACCCACTTCCCCAATTCTTTTAGGGGAACAGGAGCTATTCCAAATTTCTGGATTTTGCACTGTAATTGTTTCTAGCAAACTCTTTTTGGTGCTTATTTGGAAATATATATATATATACATAACTATAATGCAGAATTATAACTTTTTTTATTAAGGTAAAACTTTAACACCAAGTTTCAATAACATGCATGTAATTATTTAAAATTTGTTGAATCTTATATCTTTGCTTATGTATTACTATTATATTTAGGACCGGTATGTGGATCTGCACCCTTGGCTACAGAGAAACAAAAACAAAAAACTGCTACTTATGAAACACAACCTATAATTATATTTGTATCAAAGTCAAAATTCAATTGATATACTGAAGATAATTCTCACCTTTTCAAAATCTTTTCAACATGAAACACTTCTGTACGTAAAGGTTCCACAAGCTTTTGAAAGTCTTCACATACCACATTACTACCAGAATTCTGAACATTGTTCATAACAAAATTTTTGTTTAATACACAAAAAACTTAAAAATATCAACATGTTTTATTATACTGGCTATAAGAAAATCATGTTAAAATTTCCATTGCATTAACAGTTTTATAAGTGAAGGTTGAAATATATAAATTTATATGTCATATATATACTTATTAAGCAAGCATAAAAGTTTATACCCAATTTGCTATTTTTGAACCTTAAAATGGAATTAACTTCTTCTATTTAATTTTTTTATTGTCAGGCATAAGGCTAGTGGTGAGCAAAAATTTGATATATATAGGACAGTAGTTGTCAAGCTATTTTATGACCAGAGGCAAGTTTTTTTTTATCAGAATTTTACTATTTCAGAGTAATAATTAGTTGTTGACAGTAGCTGAAATACCACTAGCAGGGAGGGTACCCAACTGATGACCTAGGGCAGAGGGGTCATAGAAGTTTTCGTAGTTTGTCTGCTATTTGTAACTAAGACTATTTATTGTAAATTATAATTATTGTAGGATTTTATAAGCTCTTCTTGTAAAAGTTATTACATATATGATAAGAAATCAGAAAATATTATATATGAATGTATCAATTTAAATTTTCAAAAATAATTTGACAGTTACTTCAAAACAGCAATTCCAATCTCATAGCTTAAACTGTGGACACAGTACTGTGTAATCTGAGACAAATAATTGATGCAAAACTGCTTCAAAAGTTCATTGTTAATAAAAAATAGACCAAAAAAGAAAAGCATTTTAAAAACAACTGGCATAAAATGATGTACACAGAACCTCTAAAGACCTAAAAGAAGTATTACATAATCATGCATAATAGTGACAGTTCTCTGATACACAAATTCGTAAAAACTTAGCAAATACTTAAAATGAGAAAATTTTCCCTACATGTATATTACTCAATTACACTTACACATTACACTTAAACTGATGATAAGCTCATTTAAATTTTGTATGAAATGAACACAGATGAAAATGAAAGATTTAACGAGTAACTGCATAACTAAACATGCAAACTCAGTTACATCTTTAATACAAACAGAATTATGTCATTTAAACTGAGAAATATCTACCATGAATTTTCTGCAATATATATTAAGGCAGAATTATAATGTTTTTTGCTGGAACCAATGCTAAAATCTGTTGTTGTAGATTGATAAGCTCTTTCTCTGTAAAATTATTCTTCAAACTTAATAAAAAAAATTTTCAATTACATTCTGTCAAGCAAATGAATCACTTATGATATTACTGCATCTGGCAGGAAATGTGGAAATATACAAATGTCTATTTTTATGGAAATTTGCTGAACAAAATTATCTACATTATTATTTAATCCACTGCACAGAAACATTTTATTTAAAGTTAAAATTTTCCTTACCTGAAAATATAGTTCCAATAGATACTCACCTCTCACATAGAATAGCTTTCTTCTTCAGGAGTTCACGTGTTATGCCAAAGAGATTTACAAGCCACCAGCCTTGTGAAAACTCCTACCTAATCTCACATGAATTTGTGTTACTGCATGATGACATCATTATGCAGCAGAAGCAGAACCCTCCACCAACAGAAGTGAAACACACGTTCATGTGCAATGACTCCATCTATTTTTTTCACTCGTGAATCCTCATTCTTTGACAAAGCAATGAAGAAATGTACATGGAAAGTTAGGATGATGAGTGGGAATATGTCCAGAGGTGAGTATCTATCATAAATACATTTTCAGATAAGGAAAATATTAAATTTCAAAACAAATACTCACCTTATCACACAGAATAGCTATAATCCCACATTGAGATGGATAGTGGGACTGGTGGAAAGAATATCAAAATAAGCTCGATTCAGAAAGTATCCAAAGGAAGTCCATAAGGTGTGACACTCAATGGCAGGGGCTTTACAGAGGCACACCCCTGTGAGACTGCATTTCATATCATTTAGTGTTTTCTCTTCACCTATATAGGAGAATGGAAAAGGGAAAGAAACCATAACTGTTGGAAGGATGAGCAGAATAGGTACATGGCTGTATAAGCACACAAGTTGTTGGACAGCCAATACATGTAGTGTGGTTGGGATTCATTCAGATCATACTTTTTGTGTTAACCTCCTCGACCATCAGACTCGATGGGTCAAAAACCAGCTGTGGGAGAAGGACTCTTGAGATACATATCTGCATTCACTTCTCTACCATCAATCTAAATGGCTCCTTGACAGCTGTGGGAAGAAGGAACTGTATGGAATCATTTCTTTATAGATACTTATAAAAACATTATCCAAATATCAGTCACTATGGACCTTGTGCCTGCTGTGAGAGTAGGTTATGTGAGTGACGCAACACTGGTATGTAAGGTGTGTTCACCTCAACTCTACCGCTCCATGTCAACTGATGGAGTGGGTTTTTATTCAGTATAATGTAGAATGGACTGACAATAGAGTGTTCACCTCAGTTCTACTGAACAGACTCTGGCTACAGAAGGAGGACTTGCAATATAAAGGTATAGAAAGGATAGGTATAATGAGTTGTATCACCCATCCCTTTGAAGATTGTGAGGCATCACAGTTAAATGTGTTGGGTGACTCACAGTACACTTTGGTGTCATCCCAGCCCCACTTATCACTGTTGAGGGAATCCTTGTTCTAGCCCCAATGGTTAGATTTCAATCAGTGAAGATTCTTCATGGTCCACCACCTCAGTGGCTGGGAACTAGTAAGTTGCAATAGTCTCCCATACACCAATGATAGGACATGAAATGCAATATGTAGATATAAAGATATTATGAGGAAACCTCAAGTGGTCTTGTGGAACACCTCATCTCACAATGGGCACTTATAGAACCAGGGTGGATGGTTATGAGTGCTTTCCCTTGTCCTGGCTCAATGCAGATTTTGAGTAAGTATACCCTGCAAGGCAACACTAGCCACCTAGCTGGATCCTATAGAAAATTTGAGGGGAGAAAAAATTTACTAAGCTCACCTGTTTAAAGGTGAAAAATGGATTGGAGAATGGAAAAAGGAGGAAATTTAAATCCCCCCAGAGAGAGAGACAGCTAGGTGATGTAGATAGTGGGTGATATAGGTGTGTGTAGTAGTCCACATACATGCCTGGATAATTTCATCTAAAGGACATTGAAAACGAGCTGCTAGAGAATTTGTGAGGTGTCGAATCTGATGATAAGATCCACCCCCAAAGAGGCATATACCATACAGAAAGAGAAAAAAAATGTCCTTAGAGAGAGATGATACATCAAACAAGTTGCAAGAGGTTTGAACACGTCCCCGGTAAGAGCATGGAGAACTGCATTCAGGTTCCAGTCAGGTAAGGGAATAAGGACAGGGGGAGGGTCTGTGGATAAGGAATGAATAGAAGAGGGTAGAAAGGAAGGATTAAGGAAATATTCTACAGTATCAGGAAAGGCAGAATGTGGTATATAACACCACTTGATAACCTTGATAGTAGAGACAGACAAGCCATGGTTGAACAACCACGTGAAGAAGGAAAATGAAAGAGTATGTTATTACTTCACTGGATTATGCCAGTGAGTGAGACATTGGATAGAAGTGGGATGGAAAGAGGTGGATGGCCTAGATAGAGGAACAGAATGGGGAGCTGGAGAAGGGCCAGGGGAAGGGACAGAGATGAAATGCCGAGGCTGGGACAAACAGGAAAATAGAGATAAGAGAAAAGATTGGTGAGCAGCTTCAGCCCGTGATTCTAGGAAATCAGGAACATTACCAAAAACCTCTGGATGAAAGAAAAGGGGCAAAATA